ATATTACCATGATATTTTAGGCTATGGAGGATGGCAAGGGGAAGTATGGTGTTGAATGTGACTGGTGGTCACTGGGTGTCTGTATGTATGAAATGCTGTTTGGTGAGACACCATTTTATGCCGAATCCTTGCTGGAAACCTATAGCAAAATCATGGCACATACGGTAAGTCATACATATTCTATTCCATTGTCTTGTTGGCTTTGAGTAGATTCAAATAGTTTTGTAGGGAATCTTGAATGCTATAGATTTTATTTAAAATGTGGTTTTAATTGAAAGTCTTCTTTTTAGGGAAAATTCAATTATCCATCYGATGTTGAAGTATCTAACAACGGAAAAGATTTAATGCAAAGGTATTTTTGACACACATCTGTTAAATAGAATGATAACATTAATATTTGTTAATAGATTTACTGATTCATTTATGTATCTAAACTTATCTCTCCATTTGTGTACTTGTTAAGTCATATCATTGATTTACAAGCATATTTACTCATGATGCATGCAATATATTGCGAATAACTGTTCCTCTTATTTTTCTTTCATTAATCAGACTATGTTGTAAAGCATCTCAAAGACTTGGACAAAATGGTTTGGATGATTTCAAGAACCATTCATTTTTTGAAGGCATTGATTGGGAGAATATTCATTACAGTGAGTATGATAACACCAGAGGAAGGTGCTGWTAGAWCAGYACTCTAAATTATATGTGTCTGTTACTCTTTCTAGTGACTCCRCCGTATATCCCAGAAGTCAGTAGTCCAACAGACACATCCAACTTTGATGTTGACATTGAGGAATCAAAAGCAAATGTAAGATATATATCCTTCAAAACCAAAAAAACTTGACTTTAATTAGTCACCTTGCTTCTCCATGTTTCTCTTGTGTTTGAAATATAATAGATTGATATTGTGACATCATATTATCGTCATTTAACGTCACATTGATAATTTGCTATGTACTGTTAATAAGGAACTTCCAGTGGCAACTTCTGAATACATGATTGTARAGATGTAGTTGACAAGTAATCTCATTCATGTTCCATTACATAGCATACTTCAAATTCCCTGCAAAACACATGATGTAATCATTTGGAAATACTTATAAGCAGAACAAGCATTAAAAGAGTTTTAATGTTTCTATCCAATTGCAGGAAGCCAATCGGCCGTCRTCTGTATCTCCWTTTACTGGTCACCATTTGCCATTTATTGGATTTACGTATACAGAGGGAAGGTTAGTAGACCATTATTTACAGATTACATTTTATGGATAATATCCTTTAAAATTGTAGAAATCATTGTTTTTCCTTCTATTTGAGTCCAAAAAMATTGGTAAATATTCATTATTAAACAAATGACAGCAATTTTAAGACAGTTTTTAGAAGAATATCTCCRTGTACAGCAACATCGCTCACACGGCTGTTAGTGGAAAACTACAATTTGTCAATATAGTAAAACCATTCTTACCCCACAAACTGCGATAAGAAAATGGGTGTTCTTATATGCAGGCCTTTCYCTTTTTTCCCTAAAAAGTGTCTATAAATATAGTAACATATGTTCCAGTACATAGATAATAGAATGTGACTCTGTTATACAATTTTCACATTACCAAAGGGACAATTGTTTGAGAATAATAAAATAAATAATAAAATTGATGATAATGTGTCTTGTCCTTATAGTATTTTATCAGATCGACCCAATAACACTGATGGCAAGAATAATGCTGAGAATAATGGCGTTATCCTGAAACCTGTGCAAAATAATGGTTAGTATCTACATTGTACCATACCTACCAGTAACTACCAGGCTATTACATCAGATCACCATACAAACCAGTGCATTTTATAATGAATGGCTGTTTTAAGGCAAAGGGCTCCAAAAAGTGACTATGTAGAATGGAGCTAGTGTACACAAATCAATTGATTCCRTGGAGATTTGTGTTTTATCTTTTATGAGTGTGGTTAATCAAGCAAAATTTTGAATGTGGGCTTCTTGACTTTGATGTTACTTAMTTGATTTGTGCACATTTTTTGAATGTTGCAAACTGCAAGCTTGTTTAATAAGAAGTTGATTTTTGTCCTTTAGTTCCCAGCTCCCTGTCTGTTGAAGCATACGAAAGAAGGATTGAAAGAATGGAACGAGAAAAAAGAGACTTAGCCCGTAAACTCTCAGGTTTGTGGTTTGTGATTGTGCATGTTAAGTGCAGTTATGTAAGGGTCAAACGTGGAATGTCATGCTTACTGAATTCAGTGGAAATGAGAAAATGACAAGCAGCAACAAAAGATAAGAGGAATTTGCATTGTACATTGTATGTAGTACTGTACATTTGAGATTCCTTGTTYGACCCGCACTGTGCAAACCATAAAAGTCAATATATGAACTACAATAACTTGAATTTGYAAGCACAGCGTTAATCTTTGAAATGTTTATTTAATTCAGTACTTCATTGATTGGTTAATGTAATGATTGCTCAGTCATGATTTCATGATGAACAAGATTGGTTGATTGGGTCATTGATTGATTCAATAACATGATGATTGTTATTGATTGGTTGGTTGATTTTATACATTGGCCAAGTTAAAGATTAATTGACATAAAATATTGATTAATTGGATGAATGATTAATATTGATTATTATAATTGATACTGACAGAGTCAACCAAAGTTGTCCGTGAACAGTCTGCTGTTCTCAGCAAGGAAACAAGTAAAGAACAAGTTGATGCTTTAGAAGTYAGGAGATTAAAAGATGAAGTTTCTTCCTTAAAAAAGAAGCTAATGGGTATAAATTCTACTCTTTTTTTCTTATCTATACTACTGTTGATATCTTATTTTGTATCCCTGAGGCCGGATGGATAAAGAGATGTTGTTTTTCTCACAGAATATGAAGCTCAGTCAATGGATTTTGACAAGGAATTAAATGAGGCTTTATCAGCCAGGAAAGACTTAGAAACCAATAATGAAGGTAGGTATTACTGTAAAATAGCAAAAAGAAAAAAAAAACCTGAGTGTGAGGTATCAGTATGTGGTTATTTAACATAGAATATATATGATATTATTTCTAGATATGATATCCAAGATTAGGACAATGGAAAGAGAAAATAGGTCATACAAGATGGAAAAGGATGACCTTGAAAGGGTGTGTAGCACTCTCCATTTGCAAATCCTTTGTCAATTCTTCCACTCTGGTGTTTCTTAATGAATGTAGACATATGTGGGATGTTTTTGGGATTCATTCATTCATTTATTCTTTCAGGTGTTTAAAGAAGCCAATGAGAAAATAGCAGCACAACAGAAAGAACTCAAAGAAGCTCAGAATCAAAGAAAACTTGCCATGGCTGAATTCAGTGAGCTAAATGACAAGTTAGCAGACATGCGCTCACAAAAGACTAAACTTTCAAGAACTGTGCGGGAAAAGGAGGAAGAATTAGGTAGAATATGATGTTGGAGCATACTGCACATGTATTTGAAATGATTTTGCTTTAGATTATTATCTTTGCATGCTTGAATTGGCTTTTTTTCATGATAATTGCATATGCAGTAAACCATTGTGTAATCAGTGTATGTTGTTTTCTTAAGAGAGTGCACTTCAAAAGCTTGACAGCTTGCGACTGGAAGCCCGAAATGCTGACAGAAGAAAGAGAGAGGTGAAACAATACAACATTAATATTGAAACATTTTGTCGATGTAAAACGATTAATAATAATATCATAAGTAGTTNTTGTCAAAAGCTGTCAACAATGAAATCACTTAATGTGGTTAATTTAACATAGAATATATATGATATTATTTTTAGATATGATATCCAAGATTAGGACAATGGAAAGAGAAAATAGGTCATACAAGATGGAAAAGGATGACCTTGAAAGGGTGTGTAGCACTCTCCATTCACTGTTAGATTCAATTATCTGTAAATCCTTTGTCAACTCTTCTACTATTCTACTATTCAAAGATTCTGAAGAGATACATATGTGGGATATTTTTGGCATTCATTCATTTATTCATTATTCAATTCATTTATTCTTTCAGGTGTTTAAAGAAGCCAATGAGAAAATAGCAGCGCAACAGAAAGAACTCAAAGAAGCTCAGAATCAAAGAAAACTTGCCATGGCTGAATTCAGTGAGCTAAATGATAAGTTGGCAGACATGCGCTCACAAAAGACTAAACTTTCAAGAACTGTGCGGGAAAAGGAGGAAGAATTAGGTAGAATATGATGTTGGAACATACTGCACATGTATTGGAAATGATTTTGCTTTAGATTATTATCTTTGCATGCTTTAATTGGCTTTTTTTCATGATAATTGCATATGCAGTAAACCATTGTGTAATCAGTACATGTTGTTTTCTTAAGAGAGTGCACTTCAAAAGCTTGACAGCTTGCGACTGGAAGCCCGAAATGCTGACAGAAGAAAGAGAGAGGTGAAACAATAMAACATTAATATTGAAACATTTTGTYGATGTAAAACGATKRATAATAATATCATAAGTAGTTACTGTTCTCATTTGTTTCTTTTATTTTACTTTGTYTTTGCAGCTTAATTCCCAGGTTGAAGAACTCACTGCCGATGCAAACAGGGAGAAGAAACTCAGGCTCAGAAGTGACCAGGTATGTAAATAAAYATTAGTGCCATTGAAGTCTTGGTTGTGTATGAATTAGGTTCTACCAAATTTTGACTTTTTTACTCTCTCCACAGTATAACAAACAGTTGGAAGAAGAAATTGAATATCTTAAAGTAAGATTACCRTGTCTCATTGTGTTGCATGTCCAATACTGTCCTTTCTCATTATTGGTTGTTATTAATTAAGAGAAAATGCATCTTGTTGTTTATTTGTTTTTGAAGCTCAGTAAACTCTACCTCTACCTAATTTTAAATATAAATTTATCGATAATCTTTATACCATTATGTAAATAAGATTCCAAAGATTAACAGCATTTATTTATTTAAAGTATTGAGTTTGTTTGTTATTTGATACTAGGCTAAGCAGAGAAGCTTAGGAAGACCATTCCCATCTGACACAACATCTGATGAACAACAGCAAGAAATCTCTAAGTAAGACTGATGAYCAATGAATGTTKTTTTTTTAWWA